ATTATTGATAGATGTGAGTTTATTGCTGTCATTTTGTAGTGCTTTTTTTTTGTGGTGCTAACGTTTTCTTTGTTCTTATTCTCCTGTGCTGAATTCCTTTCGTTTGTGGATTTTTTTTCATTTCTTTTGTTTTTATAGGTTTTGTTTTTCCTGAGACTTTATGTTTTTCCTCTTTATTTTTATAAGTAGGTTTGTTAACGTTCTTTGTGGTTACCATGAAATTTACCCTTATCCTTCTAAGTTTGAAGCAGTTTATTATTACTTGGTATCACCTTGCCTTCCTCTCCATTAGAGGGTTCTATACCTACACCGTTTATTCCCTCTTTTATTGTTCTGATGTTGTTGCCATTTACAGATTAACTGCTCCGATTCCCTGTTGTATTTCTTTTGGTTTTGGATAGTCCTTGAGAGTTCATTTCCTAGATTGGTATCTACCTGGTATGCTCCTGTGTCCTAGATTCAGCGTGTGAGCTGAAGTTGTTTGTTCTCAGATCGAAGGACTCCCTTTAATAATTCTAGGAAGTTTGGTTTGGTTTTTACATATTCCCTTAATTTCTGTTTATCTGGAAATGTTCTAATTTCACCATCACGTTTGAACGAGAATTTTGCAGGATATATTATTCTTGGCTGGCAATTTTTTTCTTTCAAGGTTTTATGTATGTCATCCCATCACTTTCTTGCCTGCATGGTTTCTGCTGAATAATCTGAGCTTAGTTTTATTGTTTCTCTTCTGTATGTGACTTCTTGTTTTTCTTGAGCTGCTCTCAGGATTCTTTGTTTGTCTTTGGTTTTGGTGAGTGTGATTATGATATGCCTTGGCGATTTTCTTTTGGGGTCTATCCTATATGGGGTTCATTGAGCTTCTTGGATGGCCAGCTTTTCATCTTTCATGATATTGGGGAAGTTTTCTGTCAGCAGTTCTTCAATGATCTTTTCTGTTTTCTCCCCCTGTTCTGGAACTCCGATCACTCACAGATTTTTCCTTTTGATTGTATCCCACATAATTCTCAGGGTCTCTTCATTTTTCTTCATTCTTTTTTTTTTGAGTCTTCCTCAAACAGAGTTGTATCCAAGTGTTTATCTTCAGTTTAGCTAATCCTGTCTTCCACCATTTCAAATCTGTTCCTCAGCCCTTCTATGACACTGTCCATTTCTGAAATCTTGTTTATCTTTTTGATTTCTGATTGTTGTTTTTGTATGATTTCTAGTTCTGAATTTATTTTGGCATTTTTTCCTGCATTATTTTCCTGAATTCTTCCATTTTTTTGGTCTATATTTTCCATGAATTTGTCTGCCTTTTCCATGAATTTGTCTATTTTTTTCCTCATTTTTGTCTGCGTTTTGCTTTAACTCTTGGATAATTCTGAGTATTAGAGATTTGAATTCCCTATCAGGTAGTTCTAGTGCCTTTTCTTCTACTGGAAAGTCATCTGGTGTTTTATTTTGAAC